TGAAATAGTAACAGAGGGGTCTGGACTCCAAAGAAAATAAAAAGCTGGACACAGATATTACCATTTAGTGTCTTTTTGAAAAGTTGTTCATCTCTTTCTCCCCGGTCTCGTTTCTAGTTTCTGTGCTGGGTTCTCTTCCATCATAAACAGTCTTTCCCATGTAGCTTCGGGAACCAGTAAAAAAAGAATGCAGGAAAAAAGATTTTTAGGGCTTGATGCAGTGTTGGGAGAATGTATTTGCCCCTTTATAGATTTGCCCTCTCTTTTTTTTGGAGTTTTGACTAACTTCAGTCTTTCAAATTTTGAAGCAAGTTTAAAAAAAAAAATACCTACTGTAAATACAAAATTCAGTTTTCAAATGATATTAAGTATTAAAGAAAGTAAAACATCTAAAACTATCTTGGTCTCTTATGAAAACATATTGGTCTTAAACCTTACAGCTAGTTTTGCTACTGTAGTCCGTCAGTCTTTTACACCACTACAGATGAATTTAGAATGCTCTTCTTTGCCGAATTGTCTTAACTCAGCAACATTGGAGGATTTTTGAGCATTAAGGGCCTGTACAGAGATAATGTTGCAGTGTATGTTTCTAACCTAACCCCCCACTTTTATCTACTCCCAACCCTTCAAAACATTGTTTTAATGTTAATCCAGGAATGAGCTTAGTCTGCTAGATAACCCAAGTCAATTGAGTTGAAGGTCACAAACTGATGGCTGGATCTTCTCCTTTAGGATTTCTTTCTTGCTAGAGAGCAGAAATCATAAATCCATCAGCTAAGGCCACTTGTTCAGGTTTTGAAGGTGCAACCTGCCTCATTACCCCCACTATGTTCACCACTATTCTTGGCCAACGTTTCCCCCACTTATGGATAATGGCTTTTGGTGAGACTACCTGGTCCCAAAGTCTCAGAAATGGCTTTTCAACCCTCTCCAGATTGGTTGGTTTTTAAGGACCTTAATTTTTGTTTGTTTAGATCATTTAGCCTACTTCATGGTGTTTGACAGGTTCTATTTAAGTGATTTTCTAATTGTCTTGGTTCTCACAGTAATCAGGTCAGGCTGCGTAAAGTGAAAAAATACCCAAACGAATGTGACTAATCAAAAATATTTAATGATATAAGAAGGGGGTGAAATTTTATCTTCACGCTTGGTTAGGTTGTTTTGTTCCCCTAAGTAACTGAAATCAACATTAGAAAACTGCTTTTGTATTTACTCAGGTTTTCATTGTCTGATATTGACATTTTGATCATTTGTGTGTGACAAAGAAACTAAAATAAAATAACTTTGTTTAGGGGGTAAATACTTCTTTGCAGTACTGTAAAGGGAGAATTGATTAAGTTTATATTCTATTTACTTGCTGTGTGACAAAGATGGGTTTAAAGAGGTTTTAAGAGAAATATACAAATGCTACTGTGTCAGAAAGTATGTAAAAACAAATGCACACTGTATTTTGAAGCGCTGTTTAATTTTTAACCTAACTAATGACAATACATTTGGTTAAATAGCTCACACCACTGCCATGAAAAGAGTATATTTATGTTGTTGATGCTACTTTTCCTTTCTGCTTGAGCAAGTAAGTGCATGCCTTGATATATGGAGATGAAAACAAATAGTGTGTTACTTATCTCTCGTTTCCATTTTATGTTGTACTTTTTGCCATGTAATGTAAAAGCAGCATTTTGTTTAGCCAAAGCAACAACTTTAACGAGCAAAAGAGAGAGGAAGGGATGGCGAGGAGCCATTGGGAGAAAATGGAAGAGCTGTTTATTCTTTTCCCCAGAGGGAGCAGGAAAGCAGGATAGCGTGGGGTTGGCTGGGGGGTTGGGGGAGAGATGCACAGCTAGTGTAAAGCCAGATGAGCGTCAGTGCAAATGGACACGGACCCAGAGGGCTTGCCCCCTTCCTGATTTGTTTTTGTTTTCCACATAGAAGACACTCCCTCTTTCTCCTGCTGTACAGAGGAGGACCCTTTGATGTCCTGTTCTGAGGGTCTCCAAGTAATACAGAGATCGAGGAGGGGAGGTCAGGGGGGGGTGGCGGAGGGTGCAGGCAGACCCCAACCTCGCATCAGCAATGCACCAACGGCTCGTCTGTCTGACTCATGAGAAATGGCCAACAGCTGAGAAGTGATCTCTCAAACAAAATCGACTGGAAATTGCCGCCGCGCTCCATGTTTTCCCCGTGTGGCTATCACCTTATGTGTTGCATTTTACTCTGAGAGAATGGACTGATCTGAAATACATTGTTGAACAATGTTATTCACTGACAGAGACAAATGTTCGTTGCACAAACAGTACGATGATGTAAATGTGTAAAATACTCTGTTGCTGTTCTAATGTTGTTCCAATGTAACATGCAGTATACAGTATATTTGTTGCCGGAAAAAAAAAAGAAAAAAAAAAAAAGAGATGGCTATCACAGACACGTAGTACTTTGTGTATGAAAAAAAGAGAAAACATTTCATGCTTTCCATGCAGATACAGATGCTGTTTATTAATTGTCTTAAAATATAAATACGGGCCAGTGCTGCTGTGACAGCTGTAGCCAATGTTGTATGTTCTTAAAGCACAGGGTTTAATTTAAAAAAAAAGAAAGAAGTAAAATTAATAAATATAATATAGCGTGACAGTGCAAATATGCAAAAGATTGTAATGTTTTATATTACCCTTCATAAAATATTAAAGTGAGTTTTTACTTTTCTAATAAAGTGGCACATTATAACATGCTTGTGTTACCTGCATTTTGTTGTTGTTTTGCAGAGGGAATCCAGCTAAGCAGAGGTTTTCCCTCTTTGCTACAGCCTGACATTAATAACTCAATCTTGCAATAATGCAGGATGCAATAAATGTGTGTTTGTGAGGGATTGGGCAATAAAGCAGAAACCACTGGTGTGCACATTCTGGATCATTGAGCAACAGGTGTGATTTTATTTTCACTAACAAATATACACTGACAGTACAAACAGCTGGATAATGAAGTAGTAGTAGTACATCATGGAGTGAGAGTAGGGATGGAGATTAAACTCTAACTTAAAATGTCTTACTGTTGAGATATATTTATTTCTTCTTCCCGTTGGGGTTGACTGCAGTGATATTGAGGCAAGTGGTTTTTAAACTTCCCAGTTTTTGACCCAGTAAACATTGCTCTACTCTGACAGTTTATATCACAATTTGGCTCACATTGAAAGCAAAATACATTTCTACATTTCACAGTGAAATCTGTCTTTGTTTGCATGTGTCTTTTTGACAATTTTCCTTAAACTTTAATAAAATCGATGAAGTCTTCACACAGAAAACTCAGATGTTTTGCTGCAGTTATACAGAATACAAGTAAACACATTTAAGGGTATGTTTTCTTAAAAAAAAAAAAACTGTCACCTCCAAAACATAAGCCAACAGGTCATTGAGGACACCACTGTCCTTATGAGAGGTAAGCAGTTTTAAATAAGATGTTAATGAAAATAAAAAGAACGACATTATGTTCAATGTGATATATGACTAAAGGACTGCAGAAAAAATACTGTGATTCAACAACAATTTTTAATTTGGAGCATTACAGTGAAAACCGTAGTACCGCACTTGTGAAAGTGTAAGTCTGTTGGGCTGCTCTTTGGCACTCAGACAACAATTCTGAGCTTAACACTGCTGGACAAGGCATGTTTTTTTTTTTTTTTTTTTTTTTTTTAAAGAACAGCATTTTTAAGCCAACAGAAACCATGGCATCCTGTTTTATATGCTCCCAAACTATTTGTATTGTTTGGAAAGCATATGAGTATGCTTTAAAATGATTGGTTTCCAAAAGTATGTCATGGAGATTGTTGTTTGAAAAGAGCTGGAGATTTTATAACATATTTTCTAATCAAACCATTTACTTTACTTTTAGGGTATTGTAAAGTTAATGAAACTTTAGGGACCCCTGAGATTGCATTGAACTCAAACCAGTTGTATTGATTGATTTACCAATTTTAAATTCATAAGCCAGAGTTTGTTGTGTCTTGTTTAAACTCATTATGTAAGAATTTGAAGCTTTGCAGCTGTAACTAGTACACCCTTTACTCATGCACCAGAGGAAACTTGCAATTTTCTGCAGAGCTACAGTGCATCCAGAAAGTATACACATTGCTACACTTTTTCCACAATTTATGTTACAACATTATTCAAAATTGCATTAAATTAATCTCTTTCCTCAAAACTCTACACACAAATACTGTATTATGACACTGTGGAAAAAAGGTTTTACAGATTTTGGCAAAGTCATTAAAAATACAAAACCAAGAAATCACATTTATGTAAGATTTTGCTATGACGCTCAAAACTGAGCAGTTTCCACTGATCATCCTTGAGATATCTCTACACCTTAAATGGAATCCACTTGTGTCAAATTCAGTTGATTGGGCTAGATTTGGAAAAGCAAACAAGGTCTCTATATAAGGTCCAACAGTTGACAGTGCAGGTCAAAGGTCAAACACCAAAAATGAAATCAAAGAAATTATCTGCAGACTTCTGAGAGAGGGTTGTCTGGAAGCATGAATCTGGGAAAGAAAATGAAAATATTCTGCTGATTTGGAGGTCCCAATGAGCTCAGTTGAATCTCATTGAACATCTCTGGATTTGAAAATGGCTCACAAGCATCTCCATCCAATATGATGAAACTTGAGAATCAAGGATAGGTGTGCTAAGCTTGTGGCATCATAATAGACTTGAGACTGTAACTACTGCTAAAGGTGGATCGAGGTGTAGGCTGTGGCTTAAATGTGATTCTTTGGTTTCCCATTTTAATGCATTTGCAAAAATCTCAAACTTTTCTCCACATTGCCATAATGAGGTATTTCTATGTAGAATTTCCAAGAAAGAGATTAATTTAATACAATTTAGAATAAAGGTGTAGCATAACAACATGTGTTAAAAGTGAAGTGCTACGAATACTTTCCACATGCACAGGACTTCCTTACAATGTGTCGCACACTATTTGTGTTGTGTCTACTTCCCGACCTTACGTGAGGAGAAAAAAAGCATAGTAATTTGAATCAACAGTTAAAATAAACTTTATCTACCATGATTTTAGATCCACTATGTCGCCGGTTAATTTGCATAAGCGTTACTGCGCAGTTTGCTTCTGGGGCTGAAGGCTGTTTTCCCCCTGCTCAACACCGGCTCTTCGTCGACAAACACCGGCCGGTAAACTGCTGCTCACACCCCCTTTTCTTTTCCTCCCACACTACTTGCGTAAAAAAAAAACGTGATTGACACGAGCAAAACAGCCAATCAGAGGCAGTCTCGATGTGGACGCGTGCCAAAGTGACATGTTTATGTACGAGTCGGACCAATGGGAGCTCAGATGAGGGGGCGTGGCATTGGTTTGGAGGAAAGAGGCAAAACAATCTTTTTATCCTCCTAACCGGGCGGCTTTTTGGATATCCTGGGCTGCGGCGGTGACGGCAGCGGTGGAAAAAACTTCACATGTAGACTAGAATAGAAGTTAGGATTCAAATAGTTCCCATCAAATTGCGACAATCCCGATAAATGTATCTAATTCCCGCAATTTGCACTAAAACCCTACAGAAAGCCGACATTCTTCCTTTAGTCTCCACTCTCCTCGACTAAATATGGAGTCCAAATGCATTTTGGAAAAGTCGTCGGTCGGGACAAGCGTCGGCGGTGTCGTGGACTTCAACTACCGGCCGGGTCGCTACAACAGCCGAGTCCCAGCGGTGGCAAAAAGCAGCTTCACACCGGGGCCCATCTTTTACAAATGCGTAACGGACGGAGGCTCGACGGCGGCGGTTAAAAACGAGCGAACTTCGTCCGTCGGTAGCGGGCACTCACCGGGCGTTGGAATATTACAAAACGTGGAAAAAGTGAGTTCTTTCTCTAAGCTTTCAAAGTCACATGCATACCCACGTAGCCACGCAGATATCACAGAGTCAGACGGGGTTAACATGAGGGTATAGTTTGACATATGCCGCTGATGGCTTGTAACGGTGACGACCATGATGCTCGCATGAGACAGCTACAGCTGTTGGCTTGTTTTTACATGTTTTTTTATTGGATAAAGTGGTTTTTTAAAGGGCCAGTTTCACTAAAGAGTCAATTAAAGTGTTTATCTTGTGTTTTAACCGCTTTAAATGGCTGCTTATTCTGTGAGCAAAGTTTACAGCATAAAGGGGGGCAGGGATTCTAAACTACATGATTTACCCCCTCCCCCATGACTTTAAGGGTGGAGCTACAACGTGAGCTTCCTGGCTGCGCAGGCCCGGTTCCTTCACCAAACTCTTCAAAACACAAATTTGATTTATATGATTATTTTTTTTATATATATCTTCATTTTGTCCTTTGCTTCTGCTTTTTATTTGCGTCACGTTTGGATTTAAATCACATTTTCAGCCATTAGTTGCTTTCTGAAAAGAACAAAATAAAGACATGTTTTTGGCAGTATAGAATAAATTCGTTTTATTAATGTATCAGTCAGGTTTTTATGGAGGTAAGACCGTTGCCTTGCCGCGTGTTTATGTCAGTGGTTCTTACTGGGGGCGGGCCCCCTGGAGGTATATAGTTACTGTAGGAGGGGGTGGGGAAGAGCAACAGACCGACGGCTGGAGAGGGATATTAAACGAAACTAGGTTAAATCAATATGATTTATTCTATGGTGTGACCATTTTCATATACCATATGCTGAGCTTGATTTTCTGTGCTAAAATCCACCTAAAACACACAGTTCCATCACAGTTGTTAATGATTGATTGGGAGAAAAAAAAAAAAAAAAAGAGCCAGCTACAGTACCGTTTGGGGTGGAGTGAACTTTTTATGGCTTCTGCAAGAGAGAGAAGGGGGGGCAGCCTGCCAAAGTTTTGAAAACGTTGGTTTATATTAACATAGCTTTCTGGCATTATCTCAAAGGGATAGTTTGGATTTTCTGTGAAAATATTAGTGATAGTTCTACCCGTACTGTAATAGAAAAAAGTGACTTGCAGTGAGTGTGTGGAAAAATGAAGAAATCTTCAGAGTGGCAAAATGCCAACAGCTAGTCAGGCAGACCAAGTGTTTAACTGTTTTGGGGATTTTGTAACAAGTCAAACTGAAAATGTTTATCAGTGGAAAATTGGGCCGTAATAGCAGATATTAAGCACTAATATTTTCATGAGAGACAGTTGCTAGGTTTGTGATTTTTCTCAGCCAAGCAGCACTGTGTTATTGACATTGCTTGCTATCTGTATAAATCCACCTAATCAGCTGTTCCACCTGATCAACATCCTCAGGAGACCTGGGAAAACACAGGGATGTACAATTTTCAGTACTGTTGTACAACTGACAGTCAAAAAAATCTATAATGTTACTCAATTCTTGGCAAACTTAGAATGATGAGTAACATGAGGCATATTTATACAGTTGGTAGTGTCAACCGGAAAAAAAAAGTGACAAACTTACCAGTCGTGTCTAGTGAAAGTCTCTATCATCCACCAATTTACCAGTGTCTCTTTAAGTAGCATTTATTAAACCATAAATGCTTGCTAACATCTACTAAACAGGTTGAATAGCTCACTGTGATATGATATCTATTGACTACAGGTAGAGGAACTGTTTCTGATAATTACATTACGGAAACATAATTTCAGTATATCTGAACTGTCCATTTACGCATTGTAGGTCTTGTGAATTCATTTTTTACGTAAAAATTTAATTTTTTTCAGAGACTTCTGCAGTTAAGACACTGTAAAAAAAACAACTGTTTCTAACAGTTTGAGCTCACTTAAATGAGAAACAGATCTTCCAATCTTCCAATATATTTTTAAAAATAGTTTTTGCTATCCCAAATACAGGTTATTAGTACTTCAACTACTTGGGACTGATAAAGGGAAGTTCAGTTTGTTTCTGCTTCATTTTCCAGACAGCCGTCAGAGACCAAAAAGACATTGGTTCCACTGGGATCCTGAAGAGGGCCAGTCCTACCCTCTGCCTTGGCATGGGCAGGCAGTTGCCAGGCAGCTCCATAAGTTTGGACATCAGAAACCCAGGAAAACAGGCAGAGCTGGCCAACAGCATCAGGCCAGCACAGGGGCAGAATGTCCCACAGGCGGAGATACAACCCCTTCCCTCCTCCCACATCCCAGTCCCCAGAAACAGGTAGGAAAACTGAGGCCAGCAACAGTTGTGGACCCATTTATTTTTGGTTGTGTTTGTGGACCGCATCGTTTAACTTGTAGACAAAGCCCCATTTTACATTTTAGCACAAATACACTCCTTCTGCCAGCTCATAGGATTCTGAAGCACAGAGGTATTTTGCTGTGGGTGGCTCTTGTGCCCGAGGGTAATTTGGCTGTGACTTTGTTGTCATAAAAGCAATTGGCTCTGGCAGTTTGTGCATTCAGCTCTGACTTGTGTTCATAAGGTCTGAAGAGAAGTGAAATACACCATCTGCCTATAACCGTCCAGTGGTTTTGTCTGAATGGTGTGGGAGTGTACTGGTTAACTGACCGCATGTTTAGTGCTCCATCCAGAATAGTTTCGAAATACTATTCCTTTGGAGAGCCAGAGTTTGCAGTCAGAGCCAGAATTGCTCAATCTGCTTGACCAAAGGAGGGGAAAAAACAAGGAGGCAGGCTACTGATAAGTCAGTTTAACTGCTTTTGGGAAAGTTTTTTATTAGTCCAAAGTCATCATATTGACTGTTTTAAGTTACATTCCTCTCCAGAGTCCAGTTGATGTGTTAGCTGCTTTCTTCATGTACATGGGCAGATAAACTTTATCGTTTCTTCTTGTATATGCAGGCATTGTTGTTTGCCTCTGTTTTAGCTGTTTCTCTTCATTTTCCAATGCAGTTGTATCCACAGCCTTCTCGGTGTAAGCTGCACACACACAGACTGTTGTCTGAAAAACAAGCAGAACGAGCATGCAGCGATAAGCTTAATGCTCTGATAAGTGATTATGTAATATGAAAGAGGACTGGGAGTGGATATCGGTTTAGCTTTAAAGCTTTTAAGCTTTTTCTTTACTTAGCTATTGGTTGCTCTTTGTGTCAAGTTCCTACCCGTTTGTCAGATGACTCTTGGAGATTATTAAAATGCCTGGAGGGCGTACAGTGTAAAAACTAAACAACTTGATATTTTTTCCTTATTGTCTGTGAGCTCAGTGTAGTAGATGTATTCCAAAGTAACTTAAAAAAAACTGATTGCTGCTTTACTGAACAAACATAATATTTGAGAAAGGGTGTGAATGGTTAAGGGGGTTTCAACACCACACTCATTTACTTCCATCTCGACACGTGAATTTCACGTGTCAGTGATCATTTATACTATGTTGTGAGTGAAAGTCTCTTGGGAGCCTGCAAGACTGAGTCTACTTTTAAATCGGAACAAACTGCTTGAATTCAACATAGTGCCTATGAGATGGCCAAGAAAGCATCTATTTTTGTCTCTTATGTACACATGCTGACCAGATGTAAAGCTTTAGCACAATCATAGCAATCTCACTGAGCACACTGCTACCACATTAACAAATTCAGCGTTGACATTATTCAGACTGTAAGAGAGATTGCATAACATTATATAACGGTGTGGTCATAAAAGTGAAGTCTGTTTGTTGCACTGTTGACCTTTTCTAATATTGCCGTGAGTTTGCCAGACTAAGATTTGTGTTTGTTTTGCATTCAGTGTCAAGGAACTATGTTTTGTTTTTTTTGTTTGTTTTTTACAATTAAATCATATCATAGTGATGATACATACCCCTCTTCCCTAAGTGGCTTCTAATCAAAACCTATTAAGTTTGTTTTAAACTGGATACGTTTTCATGGATTCTGTTAGTTTATCTTTAAGTTTTCTTAAATTACTGAAAAGAATGACAGTCTGGATAAATGTATCTAACACCTGTAGAACACTAGGGCATCTCTTCCTGCCAACTGAACAATGCATTTATTTTGAATTTCTTTTTAATTTAGCATGAACTTAAATACATTTTTGTCCTTGATACCAGCGATTGAAGAAAAAACTATTTTGATGCTACTTTATCCCAATATTGCAATAAAATGAATTCCCTGAAAATGCTTCAAAACTCAGTAGTTTGAAGTTAAGTATGCTTACACAATTTGATTTAATTTGTAATACAAGATCTACTGTGATTGTGTTTTTCTTCACTCGTTCACCACTGACTTTTCAGACTCTACGATATCCGTTTTTCTTGATGGTGAAAAATATTTCGTCACAAGAGTTTCTAGCAGGAAAGCCTTTTGTTTCTATTTATATCCAAGTAAATCTAGCTACAATCTGCAACAAACTTGTGTTTAACTTCTGTTGACAGTTTTTATGCAGGGATGTTTGTGGAAGTGCTAGGCTAGCATTTTTACTTTCTGTTTTGATATGACTTGTTGATAATTTAGCTCCTGAGATATTTAAATGGGGTTCAATCAGGAAATTATCGTGCTTCATAAACTCAGTGATGTCTTTTGATCATAGAAACATTGGTGAATAGTTTTTAATAGTTTTTCATTGTAGATGTAACTCTAGTGGGTTTGAAACTTTCCTTTTGATGAGACAAACCACAGTAGTTTCAAGAACCAAAATAATTTGCACACAAACACACGGATTTAAAAAAAAAAAAAATCACAGAGGTATTTTGCTGTGGGTGGCACAGCAAACTACGAAAAAACGAAAAATGCGTAAATTGCGGGAATCTGATATCGTTCATTTAAAATGCTTTTATTTGGACATCTTAGATATTGAAAAACGAGCAAAAGTTTATCAACAAAATAGCAGCCTGATTGAAAAACTTGCGAGTTCATTTAAAGGTATTATTACTTTGGATTTGGTGTATCAGGTGAATAAAATGTACCTTAAATGGACCAAGACTTCATCTAATTCTGGCTCTGTTTGTTAACCCGATGAGTATGTGGTATTAATCGCAATTTACTAGAGATCCATTGGTCAGGCTTTTCCTGGATGATACAAATTTCTGGTTTTGTTAGAAATGTGGCCTGATTCTGATGTTGTGCTCTAAGAACTGCACGGGAAACAAGAAACTTTTTTTTTTTTTTTTGAGAAAGAATTTTTAAATCCAACAGAAAATGAAAGGAAAAAAAAATATTGTATCATCCCCCATATATTCATCAGTGAATATATGGGGGAAAAAGTACTTCCCAAAAATCAGATTTTGAAAAATTTCACCTAAAGAAAAAAATTATTTAATTGTAACGATGGGGAGGGGGTGCATGAAATATCAATCCTGTTAAGTTTGCAAGCTTCTGCGTTTAATGGGCGTAACCAGGAGTGTGTTTGCTGCACTCTGTACCCTGCTTCAGATAACGTCAACAAAACCATTCATCTTCATTTATTTCCCAACAGCTTAGTTAATACTATTTCTGTGTCACAGGATTATGTGTGCTTAAGGAGACTTTTTGCTGGAAAGACGTGGCTCGGCCCTCTGTGTGTTTTGTATTGGTTCCCTTTTCTGCACTTTGTATCTTGTGCAAAACTCTTCACTTTCACGGTTTGTCTTGTTGGTTTGCAAACCCTGCAAAGTAGGTCACTATCCCTTCGACAAGTCTGGGCAAAAACCCTCGCAGGATGAGAGAGAAAGAGCCAATGCACCCACTCACATGTGTGCTTATTCGATTAACAAAACTAAAACCCCCTGAAACATCTTTCAAAACTCCCACCCGTTTTGTCAACTGCACCCCCTCCTCGGGGAGTCCTGTGTCTGATTAAGTCTCTCTTGCACTCGCACCCTAAAGCAAAGCGTGTTCGACCTGTCAATTCTCATCAGCATGGGATCCAGTACCCTGATATTGAACAGAGACTAGTTGAAATGAGCAAGAAAAAAAAAAAACAAAAAACAGTAAGGCCTGATGAGATGAACAGGGGAGGGGTTGCTTTATTTTGATGAGAAGAGTTTGTCTCTCTTATCTGTCCTTGGTCAGGTACACAGTCGGCTAGCATGAATGGAAAACACTGAGTTGGCATAAACAGGACACCAAAGCAATCGGCAGTGAAGGAAGGGGACAGAGGATAGGATTTGTGGTGTATCTCCTATATTTACTGATGCGCTGTTTGGATAAAAGTCAATGGGACTTTTTGGGCAGGAGGGAGTGAAGTCCACCTCTCAAATTCACCTGGCCATGACCATTACACCTACCAATTCTCCCCTCCCAGAGGAGACCTTTCAGCTGGTTGTTGAAGGTCAGAGTCGCTGAAACAGCGCCCCACCCCCCAACCTAGTCTGGGATGACTAACCCACATTCAAACCCCTGACATTGCCTCCTGAGAAAGACAATCCACTGCTTTTTAGGTGACTGCTTTCTTACATTTCAGTAGTTTGAACTTGTCAGTGTTATCTTTAGTTTTAAAAGAATTCCTTCTGAACCTGATGATCCGTTTTCACATGTCGCGTCAGCCCCTTTTTTTTTTTCCTCTCTCTCTCGCCCACACCGCAAGAGGTTGAAGCTTTTGCACTGACAGGCAAGGGTGAAAGGTCGTCTCTCAATGAATGGAGTTATGCAGGAGGGGCGGGCCCAGATCAGGACGCAAACAGGCATCTGGCACGTCTGGTAGGTCAACCTCAGGATCTGGGTCGCAGAGCTGCGCCGGCAATTTAAAACCACAGATGATAAGCAACAGCTCATCATTTAACACTGCAGCTTTATTATCTCCAGATTGAGAGGCGGGTGGACAAATGAGAAGCTTGTACGTAGTACATATTTTGACAATGTAGTATCATGTTTGTGGCTCAACAACCACTAAATAAACCGACTGATAGAAGTTCAATTTAAATGATTGTATTTAAAAAGCAACAGTTCACAACAACATATAACCGGACTTTACTTTCAACTCAAGCCTAGTTATAATACAGTGCAGTCAGTTTTTAGTGCAAGATGACTGCTCATCCTTAGTAAGCATGTAGCACTGACAGGCAAGCACATTTTTATTTAATTTACTGTGTGCGAGCACAGTCATCAAATTAGTAAAGGGCTGTTTTGTTTTTTGTTTTTTTGTTTTTTTAGCAAATTGATGTAAATAAGGATAATACCAGGTCCAATTCAGCTTGTTTTGTTGCAAAAATATTTTTAAATGGAGAAAATCTAACCTTCATATAACCTATGAAACTGTACATTGGTGTAAATCAATGCTTCATCACTG